CTCCCGAGTAGCTGGGACTACAGGCGCCCACCACCACGCCTGGCTAATTTTTTGTATTTTTAGTAGAGACGGGGTTTCACCGTGTTAGCCAGGATGGTGTCGATCTCCTGACCTAATTTATTTGTTTTAAATTTGCTATTCCATCTCAAACTTCTTGTATTGGGTGCTTGACTCATGAATTTAAGCCTTCCTTTATCTCAAGTATGTAGATTTAAAGGCTGTAATTTTAATGTGTTTTCATTGTCATTCAGTTCAAAATACTTTCTGATTTCCACTGTGAGTTGCTCTTTGACCCAGGAGTTATTTAGAAATGTATTTCTTAATTTACAAACATACGTGTTTCCAGTTATCTCTTTGTTTTAGGTTTCAGGCTTAGTTCCACTGTGAGCAGAGAACATGCTCCACGTGCTTGTAGCTCTCTGATTTTTACGTGCTTCTTCCTCTTTCCATATGAAAAGAATTGTGTTGAAATCTTCCACTGCGATTCTACTTATAGTTCTGTAAACATTTGATTCGATGTGTTGAAGCCGTGTTATCAGGCACATAAAGATGTAGAATTGTTACCTTTTTTCCCTTTCTTTCCTCCTTTTTGGACTGATTTAACACTTTTTCTTATTTGGTTTTTTTTTTCTTTTCATTTGTAATGTGCTCTTTCGTGTCTTTTACATCTCTTTTACTAATCTTTTAGTAGTTTTCCTAGGAATTACACATGTATACTTCACTCATCAAAGTAATATTAACTGACATTTTTATGTACTTCCTGACCAATATAAAAATCATAGAGCATTCCTTTACTCTGTTGACTCCCTCCTCCATTTATATGCTATTATATTAATGTATTTATTTTTATTTATTTATTTTTATTTTATCTCCCAGGCTGGAGTGCAGTGGCGCAATCTTGGCTCTCCGCAACCTCTGCCTCCTGGGTTCAAGTAATTATCCCACCTCAGCCTCCAGAGTAGCTGGGACTACAGCTATCTGCTCTCCAGCTAGGTGTGGTTGGCCTTCCAGTAATTCCCAGCCTAACTCCAGAGGTTGAGGCACTAGATATTGCTTCTCAAAACCCGGGGAAGGGGTTGCAGTGAAATCCGAGGACGCTGCCACATTGCATGCCAGCCTGGTGACCCTGAGCCAGACTCCAGTCTAAAACCACAACAAACTAGCCCTTGGCCGGGCACAGTGATTCACGCCTATAATCCAGCAACTCTGGGAGGCACGAGGTGCGGATCCACTTGAAGCTCAGGAGTTCCGGATACAGCCTGCACACAAAATGTGAAACCGCATCTCTACAAAAAAAAAAAAAAAAAAAAAACACACACACACAAAAATTAGAAATGGTGGTGCACAGCAGATTTATGCACTAGTATTCATTTCAATTTGCCCACATATTTATGATTTTATTTATTTCTTTCTTCCTTTCCAACTGCACATTTCAGGTATTTTTTCTTAAGGCTGATATTTCCAATAAGTATAGGATTAGAGGTTGGTTGTTTCTTCTCTCAGCCACTCAAATATATTATTCCACTGTTTTCTATTTTTTATTGTTGTTTTTCAGAGGTCATCTGTTTGAAGGTAATACATGTTACTGAAAAATTCTCAACCATATTTGCTTCATATTTTGCTTTGACCCATCTTTTTTCCCTTCTCCTGGAATCTCAGTTACATTCATTACAGACCTGTTGACACCATCCTATATGTTTCTTTTGCTTTTTCCTGTGTTTTCATTCTGTTTTAGCTTTTTGCTTCAATCTATGTAATTACCTTTCACATATCTTCCAGTTCATCTATTTTTTCTCATCTGTGGCTAATCTACTGTTAAATGCCTCTATTAAGTTTTTTATTTTGTTTGGTGACATTTTCAGTTTTATAATTTTAGTTCGGTTCTTTCTCAAATCTATTATTTCAACACTTATACTTCTATTTTTTCTTCCAACATTCTTAGTATTATCTTTTAACTTTCAGAATACACTAACCATAGTTGTTTTAGCTTGTGTCTAATAATTCCAATTTCCTATATGTATCTGTTTCTGGTTTTTTTCCTATTTTTGTTTTGTGTTGATTAGTTTTCTTTTATGTCAGATTGCTTTTTATAGGGTTGTTAACATTGTGTCTTAAAATCTTTGCAGAATTAATTTGAAGTGTTTTTTCATTTGCCTCTGTTCTCACCACCAGGTCTGTTCACCCAATAGTGTGAACAGTACAAACAGCTGAGTATAATCACTTAACTGTTTTACTTCTACTAGGCTATGTACAGTGAATTTATTAACAATCAGCCAAATGTATTTTCTACTTTTTTATAGCACTTGTTTGTCTTGAATTTTCTTTTGCTATTTTAAATGTATGGCTAGAGGACTCTTTCTGTAATCACAAGCAGGCCCAAGTTAACATTTTGATATGTTTATGTTACTAGTCTTTGATTTTCTGGGTGGCATTTATTTAATCTAACTGTGTCTATGCCCCCAAAACACTTAGAGATCAAGGAAAATTTTGAAGGAATAATGCTGGTCAGAGTTCTCCCTGAGGTCTGAATCTAAGTAGTTAATCTTAGCCTTAGTCATCTCTAAAGCAAAGTTTTCTCAGTCTTCCAACCTCAGGGTCAAGAAGGAGAGATAGATACCCAGGATGAAGAGTGCCAAGTCATAGCTTTTGCACTGAGGCTCAGTGATGCCCTTTGAGCTTGACTAATTAACACTGCTGCTTCAGGAGACTGAAGACTAAATTGAACAGGACCATACTTCTATTTACCAGTGTTGATTTCCATAACTATCAAGCATTGTATTGTAATGTAATTCTCCTTCCAGGATACATTAAAATATGCAGAGTTGTTTGCGCTGCCTTTAAATGGCCTGGGCATCTCTGATTCTTTTTCAGTTCTAGATCCCTTTCAGCATTAATGCTTCTGCTTGGTCTATTCATTAAGTATATCCAGTAATAATTTCATTAAACTGTTGTTTGATAAAGAAACATTTAAGTAATAGGCTGAAAGATATATAAAGAACTTTTTATAGAATATTAAATAATTTTCCTTCTTTGTCAGGAACTTTTTTTAAGTTTATGCAGCTAGTAGTATTTCTTGAAAAAATTAAGTTATTTTTCTGCCTTAATAATGGAGACTATTCATTTAACCACTTGAGATTCACAACAATTTAGATTTAAGCTTCCTTTTCCAATAATAGAAACACTTCAAAAATCTTTTCACCGATATCCTTACTAATTTATTTGAGCGTCCTGTAGACGGTATTCTTTAACATTTGTTCTAATTACCTCACTGTATTCTATTTTAACAGATTTCAGATCAGAACCACAGCTACCCAAGAAAACCCATCTCCAAATTGTGTATGGATTCATGTGTCAGTCATTTATGACCAACTGTGTAGTGTGCCTTCATATAGTATTTGTGAGAAGAAGTTTTCAATGTAAGGGGATGGGTGGAGGAGGAAAGAGAAATATGTGAGCTAGTAAGGTAGACAGAAAAAGGAACAGAGAAGAGTAACAGTTGAGGTCAAAATAAATGCAGAAAATGTTTAGTGAGCTTGGCAAACTGTAATCTTAACCAAGAAATTGAAGGGAGAGGCTGTGATTTCTGTATTTGTCGACCTACAGGTAGGCCAGTGTAATTGTTCTATGTGCTAAATCTCTCGACATGGAATCAGGGCAGCTAAGCTTGAATTTTTTTTTTTTTTTTTTTTGGAGATAGGGTTCTCACTTTGGTCACCCAGGCTGGAGTGCGGGTGGCACCAATCTCGGCTCCACCGCAGCCATCTCTATTGCCTCAGCCCCCCCAAGTAGCTGGACTACAGGTGCATGTCACCATACCAGGCTAATTTTGGTGTGTTTTGTAGAGGAACTGGATTTTGCCATGTTGGACAAGCTGGTCTTGAACTCCTGGGCTCCAAAGTGATCCTTGCCCCACCTTGGCCTTTCCCAAGCAGTGCTGGATTTACAGACGTGAGCCACTCTATCTCTCATTCCTGCGCACCAAGCTTGAATTTTTCATTCTTCGCATTGACTTGACATTACCTGGGGTAAACCATAAAGCAAGTCTTAATTTCTGCTCCATCAGAGTTGTTTTTGTGTCAAACAATGCCATTTGATGCGCATGTATTGTTGCCATGATTGACCCTCAACTGTCTAGCAGTTATATGCAGATATGAACCTGGAGGGGGTTTTGAAAGTATATTTCTGAATAGCTAAATGAAAGAAATGGGAAAAAAATTCTTCCCCACAATCAGAAGCCAATTTTATTATTTTCGATCGATCTGATTCATTAATGTATGATTATCATCTTTAAAAAAGCAGGAAAACTCCTACCTTTTTCTTTATCAGTAAATAACCCAGAGAGGTACCATTCTGCCGTATCTTCTAATAGAATCTTGTTATTAATATGTAAATTGTAGGAAAGAAACTTGCCTTCATAGGAAAAGTTTTTCTGCTTTTTAAATACAAAAAATACATCAGAAAATAACTAAAATCTGATGATTGAATATAAAAAAGTTTAACCAGTCTCATTGGAAACAAGTGTTAAACCATTTTGGAATATGGAAAACATGTTTTAATTATTTTGTGATGTACTGTTTATAATTTTGACTTTTTTCATTAATACTGTAAATGGTATTATTGGAATGAAACTATATTCCTGATGTGGCTGATTTGTCTTATTTTTTTTCATACGTTCCCCACTGGGTGCTATTTTATTTCCAATGGACTAAATTTCTATATTGCACATCTGGCACAGAGCTCCCTCATGCTTGCCTCCCCATGGCTTGCATACTCTTTTACAGATAAAGAACCGGCGGTTTTGAAAGGCAAAATGACGTTCTAAGAAAGGGAACGTGTTCTGGGACCCTGGGGATTTCGGTATATTTGGTTGGATATTTTGCCCAACTGCTCTGGGAAGACTAAAGGCCTAGGCAGGACAACTGGTTACCAGTTTGCATACCTTGGGCGAAGTCTGTTTATTATTATTAAGACAGGACTGCATTTCCGTAGGAGTTCTTAGGTTACCAGCAGCGAGGTTCATCCTGGAGTGCTGTTGGGTGTTTTTTAGCAGCTTATAAACTAAAGTGTTTTGCAAGCTTTTGAAGTCATTTGGCTAGGGCCTATTGCAGAGAAGACTTTATATCTCT